TTCAGGAAATCTGAGTAAGAGTTGACATTTGCAGTCACTGTGTTATGCCTCAGAAATGCTTAAGGGAGGTGAATGAAAATACTGTTGCTAAATAAATATGGCCTTTTCCTGGCAGAACATAAAAATTATTTTTCAGGGTAGCATTAACTGTTATAGCTGAAGAAAAGTCATGTCACAGATTCTTTTTTAGCTCATTAAGTCTAGAGTGTATAGTCTTTGAAACTCGCCACAGGTTAAATTATGTCAGAATAAATTGTAAGCATGAGAATGAGGAGAAAGATATGGATTCCAAGAGCATAGAGTTTTTTACTTCCTTTTCTTCTTTTAAGTTACGGTGTAGAAAACGCTTTATAACACACAGTACAGCTGCCTCTGTGACATTGTGTCTGGATAGACTCATTACTGCTACCTGCTACTCTTAATAATTTTTGAAAATTTATTGCCAATAAGCTAATTTAGTGATAACATATCTTTTATACCAGCATTATTTTGAACTACGGGGCTGTCCTTGTCACACTGAAAAATAGCAAATTCTTTTTACTTTCCATAGGTTTGTAAGAAGATTGCTATATTTTTACAAGCCTAGCAGTAAACTGTATGCCAACCTGGATCTGGACTATGCCAAGGCTAAACAGCTCACTGTCGTGGGTTGTCAGTTTACTGAATTTCTTCTTGAATCAGAAGAGGTAAGAAATTTTTAGGTACAAAACTGGAGATAGAATGAGTAGTACTGCTGTATGCCAATTAAAGGAAATAACCTTAATTTTAGTAAAGACTTCTGTACAGTTTTGGTGTTAAATTTGAAATGATCAGTGTAATTAAGAAACATAACTTAAAATCTCGAATTGTCCAGATGAGACACTGGGGAAGATGACTGTGTTTAAGTATTTAATACAGCTTTATTAAATGTGACTTAGGGTTTGGAGGTTTTTTAATTTTGCTATATGTATCCTTCCTTTCTCTACCTCCTTCTTTCCTATGTGCTAAAGACTTCTATACCTCAGGCCAGAGGAAAATGTCCCTGAACAATCCTTTTCCTGGAAAGAACAAAATTGGTCCTAAGATGTCTCCAAGCTAAGCTCCTTTTATTTGCCTTGAACCTTTTTCTTTAGTCTGAATTGTTTGCCAGCCAGCAGTTCTATTTTGTATCTGTACTGTGTTTGTACATTTTTAAGAAATTTAAAACAATGGATTTCAGTAAAGAAGAGAGACCCCGTTCTGTTACTAGTAAATGCTATTATTCTTTGTTTTGTTAGGATGGACAAGGTTACCTGGAGGAATTAGTTAAAGATATTGTACATTGGCTCAACTCTTCATCTGGAATGAAACCTGAACGTAGTCTTCAAAATAATGGGTTACTAAATACCCTTAGCCAACATTACTTCCTGTTTTTTGGTACTCTCTCTTGTCACCCTCATGGAGTGAAAATGCTTGAAAAATGTAATGTGTTTCAGTGGTGAGTGTTTTTATTCTGTTTGAATTGTGCTTACAGGTATAATAGTTACAAAAATTGTATACTGTGCATGAGGACCACCATCTATAAAGCTGAAAACATGAAGTAAAGGTTCCCAGTTGGGGGAGGGCGGAATTTTGGTATGTTTTTTAAGAAGGGGTCTTTTAGTCTGTCATTACTGAACAGATTGAGGTGATTGAGTCACAGAATAGCTTACTTCTTCCTGTCCACACCTCTCTGACAGAAATCAGTATCAGGAAGGATGATACTGTACTAGAAAGAAAAAAAGAAAAAAACCAAACACACACACAAAAAAAAAAAGGGCAAAAACCACATAAACCACTAAAAACTGGCAGGTGTCACGTTGTTTGTGAAATGTGATGTTGCACCTGAACTTTAGTGCAGTGTATTTGAGTGAAGCTGTGGAGTTCAAAGTTTTGTTCAGCTACAAAAAAACTTACCTTCCAGTGGAAGTAAACTGGCTAGTGGCTAATACCAGTTTATTTTAAATGTAGTAAACTTTAAGTGAAAAATCAGGTGTTCTGATGTACTCTATTTTTTTTAAGTTGTTTTCATTGACTCTTAGAGTGCAAGTTTTTTACTGGCTTCGGAAAACTTGGTTTACAATAAAATCTAGACAGTTAATAGGACTAACCTTCTGGCAAGCTTTATACACAATTTTACAATGAAGAATTGTTGACAGAGCTTCAGGAACATTAATTTTTGTACTCATAATCACAAATTAAAGTATGCTGACAAAATTACTACAAAGCAATTATAAAAAATGTTGATTTGGGGTGGTTTTCCCTTGCAGTTTAGTGCATTATTTGGTCCCCATTTGACTAACAGCTGTAACAGTTCGAAGTCACTCCATTTCCTATGAAACCTTACTTTGTATCCTGTCTTTATAGAAATTAAAGTCTAAGTCAAACTACTTAAGTTTAAATTATTGGTTGAATGAATAAATTGGTTTGAGTGGGTTCAAATACTAATTTTTCTTTTCTTTTCCCTCAGTCTTCTTAATCTTTGTTCTTTGAAGAACCAAGATCACTTGTTAAAACTGACTGTTTCTAGTTTGGATTACAGCAGAGATGGGTTAGCAAGAGTCATCCTTTCTAAAATCCTGACAGCGGCTACTGATGTAAGTTCAATTCCGTTCCGTTGTTACTTGCCACTAGACTTTTTTTTTATCATTCAAAGTGTATGTCTTTATGATGCTGTATATCCAGAAATTTTTTTATTTTTGTATTCTGAGAAATGGAACTCCTACACACATAGCTTTTGAATTTTCTGTGGACTTCCCACCTTGGATTGTATTTGTGCTCAGAAATTCAAATATGAGGTTCCTCTCATGTATGAAGGGGGTTAAAGTCTTTAAATGCATAAACGAAGTGTAACATTATTGTCTAGGTCAGTGGACATCCTAAATCAGTGGTAAAGGGATTGTTTTGACAGAGATGTGTATTTCTAGTAGTAATAAATCGGTTAACCTTCCAGTGGTCATTATTACTTTAGTAATGATTGAGGTTGCTCTGGTGGAACTGAGCAGAAGCTGTAGCTCCTGGAATGAAAGGTGGTGGTTTGGAAATAGGCATTGGGATTTGTACTTCTGAATCAAAGGTGAGTGGAAATAAAATAGACTTATGTAGACTTGGGAAAGGAAGGTGTTGAACTTTCTAGAAGAGAGAAATCAATCAGGTGTAACATAGTAGACAAGCAAGTGTTGATGTCAGGGAAATGGCAATTACTAAATTGAAATCTAACTAGGAAAGAATTTTCATTACTTCAGGGAGAGCTATTCTTTTGTTGCCTGGACAAGGCAGAATATATTTTAGAGTGGATACAAGAGGGAGTAAGGTAAGTGCTAGCTATAAATGGCTCATTGTATTTTGGAAGAGGAGAGGGAGAGAACGAAATTGAGGCTATTTCTCTGACACTATCAAAGATATGATGATTCTTACGGTTAAAAAGTGGAGTCTGAAAGTAATGAAGATACTTGGGGTTGAAGGAACGACTTCTTGACAGAAGAGGGTAAAACTCCCTAGTGAATAATTTTTAAGTAATCTTTCAAGTAAGTGATGACTCTGATAGCCTTTCTCCAGAGTTTTATGCCTAGTCTGAGCAAGGAAACAGAAATTAATATATTGCAAGGACACATGCCTGTGTCTTTAATTATTAGACTCCTAAACCTCTGTTAGGTGACTTCCAGTTAAGAGGAATTTAGACTGTGGAACTTCATTTAGCTGTTTCTACTGAGATTTTGTATCAGTGGGTACTCCCTCCTGCCCCCTCCACCACCTTCCAGTTATTTTTACCTCGTAAAAAGGGGCCATATGTGGGAGAAGACTCCAGCATTTCAGTTTCTTCTAAATGCAGCTAGTTAACAATTGGAAAAAAGTCCAGGCATGCTGTCACAATCTTCTCAACAAAGTATACAGTTACACTAATTTGAGTCATTTTATTATGAATTAGTTTTGTGGTTTAGATTTTGGGAAAGATTTCTTGATTCTGATATGTAAAGTATGAAGACTCAAATTCTGTTTTGAGAGACATTCTTCCAAATGTTTTCAAGCATCCAGTACCACAAGCTTTATGTAGGTAGGAATGGGTCGATGTTCTCTCTGAATGTACTGTCCCAAGTATATACAAAGCCACAAAGCAGTTGAGAGCTATTGCTGCTCTTAGTGATGATAACTTAAAAATACAGTCTCTGCCTATTTGTAATTCAGCTTAATGAGCAATAGATAGTACACACTTTGTGTACCTCAGACATGGGTAGGATAGACATCGCTCTCTGGCACCTTAGCAATTAAGAAATCTTGTAGAGCCCTCAGGTTTACCCATTTCCATCCTGGTCTGTTTGGTGAAAAGGATTAGGGATCATGATTTGATTGCTGGCATTACCCTGATTATTTAAGGCCAGGTCTTGACAGATGTTGAAGTATAACTCTTTGGAGAAGGCTAAGAGACATTCTACAGGCTCAGAAATTTAAAAATGCGAATATTATAGCTCAAACTTAAATAATTAGTTTTAATGTTAGTGATCTTTCTTGCCAGATACAGTGATACCTTTTCACATCCATGATGTTTTAAGGTGTCAGCCTACATTAGTAGCCTGTGGCTACTGAGTTCTAGTGCTTCCATTTTGCAGTCTCTCATTGATGCATGGATCTAGCAACATTGCCTAGGGAAACAGCAGAGATTAAGTAACTGTCTATTTTCAACAGTCTCCTAAAATGTAAGAGAGTAGAAATTATTAGGATATATCTCAACTGCCATGCAATGACTTACTCTATAAGTAAAAGTGTAACCTTTCTCATATGTGCACAATGTGGATCAGTAGTCCTTAATAGCAGAGTTAAGTGTGCATTCAGGTATAGCAGGTCTCTAACCGTAGCAATCTCCAGGCAAGTTCATAGCTGAGATGTGTTGTGATGTAATTCTACTGTTTAGAATTCAGTGTTGCACTGGATGAGACTGTGCCCTGATTTTTGTGTGCTGCAATACCATGAGAATCTCTTCAATATTTTCTTTTAAAAAAAATCTGATAACAGATTTAAGAAATTTTAAAAAAACTATTTTTTGTTCATCACAAATGTAAATGAATCTTTTACTATCATGACACTAAAAAAGAAGAAAAATTTACTGCTTGAACCTCTTAAGTAGAGCCTGACTTCCCTTGTGATAAATATTGAAGCCTGAGGGATGGATAAAACTACTCCAGGCTGTTTTGTTTCATGAATTAGTTGAGCTGAGTATATCATAGGGAAATATTTTGTATATTTCATCAAAAAGAGGAAAATCACAAATGGAATGGATTGTCTTAGCCAGCAGAAATGGGTCTACATTTACATCAACCACAGAGGATTTATTTACTTCCTTAAGAACTTATTTTCCTGTTTTACTGTGTGCCAAACTGCATATGTTCTTATGGAGGAAACTGAACCGATGGGATTTTGAAGAGAAAACTTCACTAATTACTGCTTGACAGAAAGGCAAAATGTTGACTTGTCAAAGAACCCTGTGACAGTGCTTGGTGCATGCAATATTGCCAGTATGATCTCTTGGACAAAATGCTTGTCTTCAGAGTTTCTGGTGTTTGTGCTTCCAAAAGAAGATGAAAGCATAAAAAGCTAATCCAAAGGATAAAATCTTTTTATTATTCTGGTATAAACTGTATCATTAGTGGTGTAAGTGGTATTTTTGAGCAACTGCACTTGGCAAAACTACAAGTCTTTCCAGAAATTAAAATATTCATGTGAAGTGGAAATAGTTGTCAATTTTGGGAGTATAAGATAGCTGAAACAATATGGAAATACTGAACTGCCAGGTATTTGTATGGACAGTTCCACTGACTGAGAAGTAATTTGGAAGTACCTCTGTTTAGATGTTAGGGGAAGGTATCTGCCTTTTTCTGAGTTTTACAGTGAAGCAGTCTGGAATTCTAAAACAGCAGCAATGTCAAGAGCAAAAGAAAACATGCAAGGTTCATGCATGGGGAAAGAGGGGAATATCTGTTTCCTCAGATATCCTGTACACTGGTTTTCCTGTCAGTTCTCATCAAAAGTAAAAACACTCCAGGATTTTGCTTCATCTGGAAAAGCAATGCTGGGCTTTGCCAGCCTGATCTGGGGAATGCATACAGGTGATTTTGCTGCACAAAGGTTGTGGCTGTGCTTGAAGACTTTAGGACCATTGGAAATGCATGGAATGGTTTTGCAGCCCCAGGTCTGAGGTTTAAATGTCGTAGTCTGTTGAGCCATTCCTTGTTGTAAAGACCTTTTTCCGTACTTCAGTTACTTAAAACCCTGTTCTGCTGTTCTTTACACCTTTTTAATTGTTCTTCTTTTCCTTTCTGATGATGGTAGGAAAACCAGAATTGTACACAGTGTCCGAGATGTCAGCACACACTAGATTTACCTAGTGACAATGCTGGCACAATTTACTCTGTTTGCTTTCAGTGGTTTTGGTTGCCATTGAACTTCTAGCTAATGCTTCTACAGAACTAACTAAAATTAGCCCAAAGATCCATTCCCTGGGTGGAAAGAGTTGCTTCAGAGCCTGTTGTCTGTATAAAGCTGGGATTTTTTTTTTTTTTCCCTTTAGCTCATTGTTTCAAACTTATCTGCAGTGAATTTTATTTCGTACTTTATTGTCCCATCAGTGATGAGTTCCTTCTTATATTTTCCTTCTCCAAACAGAAAATAAAACTTGTTCTAATTCTGTACTAGCTATCTGGATAGATTAATTCATATCCAGGAAGTATTTCAGGAAGTACACATTATTAGCTTTTCTTCTCTGTACTGCAGTCAGTGTGGTTATACCAGTAACAACGATTCTTTATAGACGGATTTTAACACTTCAAACTCATGACATGGAATTCTGGTTTCAAATTATTGTGTTACACTGTAGGATTAACAGCTAGATCAAGTGATCATAGATTCATAGGATCCTTGGGTTGGAAGGGACCTTATAAGGTCACCTAGTCCAACTCCCCTGCAATCAGCAGGGACATCTTCAACTAGATCAGGTTGCTCAGAGCCCCAAGCAACCTGACCTGGAATGTTTCCAGGGATGGGGCATCTACCACCTCTCTGGACAACCTGTGCCAGTTTCACTATCCTCATTGTCAAAAATTTCTTTCTTTAAATTTAGTCTTAAATCTACTCTCTTTTAGTTTAAAGCCATTACCCCTTGTCCTATCACAAAAGCCTGTCCCCATCTTTCTTATAAGCCCTCTTTAAGGACTGGAAGGCTGCAATAAGGTCTCCCCGGCACCTTCTCTTCTCCAGCCTGAACAACCCCAACTCTCTCAGTCTATGCTCAGAGGAGAGGTGTTCCACTGATCAGTGTTGTGGCCCTCCTCTGGGCCCACTCCAACAGATCTGTGTCTTTCCTGTGCTGAGGGCTCCACAGCTGGATGCAGGACTCCAGGTGGAGTTTCAGCAGAGCGGAGCAGAGGGGCAGAATCTCCTCCCTTGACCTGCTGGCCACGCTGCTTTGAATGCAGCCCAGGATACGGTTGTCCTGTTGGTCTATGAGCATGCATTGCCAACTCATGTCCAGCTTTTCATCCACCAGTACCCCCAAGTCCTTCTCGGCAGAGCTGCTCTCAATCACTTGATCCTGCAGTCTGTATTGATGGTGAGGGTTGCCCCACCCATATACAGGACCCTGCACTTGGCCTTGTGAGGTTCACATGGGCCCACTTCTCAAGTTTGTCCAGGTTTCTCTGGATGGCATCTCATCCCTCAGGCATGTCAGCCGCACCACTCAGCTTGGTGCTGTGTGCAAACTTGCTGAGGGTGCACTTCATCCCACTGTCGATGTCATTGATGAAGATACTAAAGAGTACTGGTCCCAGTATGGATCCCTGAGGGACATTACTCATCACTGATCTCCATCGGGATGTTGAGCTGTTGACCTCTACCCTCTGGATGTCACCATCCAATCAATTCCTCATCTACCCAACAGTCCACCCATCAAATCCATCTCCCTCCAATTTAGAGAGAAGGATATTGTGGGAGAAGGATTTCTGCCTTACAGAAGTCCAGACAAATATCTGTAGCTCTTCCCTTGTCCACTGATGTGGTCACTCCATCATAGAAGGCCACTAGGTTGGTCAGGCAGGACTTGCACTTGGTGAAACCATGCTGGCTGTCTCGAATCACCTCCCTGTCCTCCATGTGCCTTAGCATAGCTTCTAGAAGGATCTGTTCCATGATCTTCCTAGGCACAGAGGTGAGGCTGACACGTCGGTAGTTCCCAGGGTCCTCCCTGCTACCCTTTATTAAAAATGGGTGCAGTGTTATCCTTTTTTCCGTTTCCAGGGCTTCACCTGACTGCCAGGACTTTTCAAATACCATGGAGAGTGACTGGGCAACTACATCAGCCAATTCCCTCAGGACTCTGGGATGCATCTCGTCAGATCCCATAGACTTGTACATGTTCAGGTTCCTCAGGTGATCTCGAACCTGATCTCCTATACAGCAGGAGGGACTTTGCTCCTCTTATTCCATCTTGCAGTCCATCCCCTTAAGAGGTGTGGGAAGAGAGACCACCAGTGAAGACTGAGGCAAAGACGTCAATGAGTACCTCAGCCTTCTCATCTGTTGCCAGTCTGCCAGTCTTGCTCATCACAGGAGTTACACTTTCTTTGACTTTCCTTTTCTGGCTGACATACCTGTAGAAGCCTTTATTATTCTTCTTTGCATCCCTTGCCAAGTTCAGCTCCAGCTGTGCCTTGGCCCTCCTGACTTCGTCCCTACAAACTGGGCAGCGTCCCTGTACTCTTCCTGGGATACTTGTCCCTGCTTCCACTGCCTGTGCATTTCCTTCTTGCCTTTGAGTTTGCCAAGCAGGTCTCCACTCAGCCATGCTGGTCTCCTGCCTTCCTTTCCCAATTTCTTACACCTGGGGATCAAGAGCTCTTGTGCTCTATGGAAAGCGTCCTTAAAGATCTGCCAGCTCTGTTGTGCTCCCTTGTCCCTGAGGGCAGTTTCCCAGGGGATCCTATTGACCCAAAGCCCTGAAGAGCTTAAAGTTTGCTTTTGTAAAACTCAGTGTCCTGACTTCACTCCTCACCTGCCCCACACCCCTCAGGACTGTGAACACCACCAGTGTATGATCACTGCGGCCCAGGCTGCCTCTGGATTGTCTGCATGCCAATCTTGATGTCACCAGTTAGCTCCCATGCATTGGTGACAGGCAGCTCCAGTATGGCATCCCCTCTGATTGGCCTGGCATAGGAAGTTATCCTCCATGTACTCCAGGAGTCTTCTGGATTGCCTACAGCTCCCTGTGCCACTTTTCCAGCAGGTGTTGGGGTGGTTGAAGCTCCCCAGCAAGATGAGAGAGTGTGAGTATGATGGCTTCTGTAGCTGGAGTAAGAAGGCTTCATCAATAGACTCCCCTTGACCTCCTCCCAAGGTTCCCTTTGAGTTATTCTCTGATTCTTACCCATAAGCTTTTGACCTGCTCATGGGTATTCTTTGGAGACAGCTCTTTACACTCTGTCTGTTTCTTGACATAGAAGGCAACCCCTCTGCCCTTCCTTCCTTGTTTGTCCCTTCTGAACAGCCTGTAGCCATCAATAGCTGTACTCTTGCCCTTGGTGAAGCCATGCTGGCTGTCTCAAGTCCCCTCCCTGTCCTCCATCTGCCTTAGCATAGCTTCTAGGAGGATCTCTTCCATGATCTTCAGAGGCACAGAGGTGAGGCTGACAGGTCCCTAGTTCCCAGTGTCTTCTTTTACACCCTTTTTAAAAAGGGGGGCAATGTTTCCCTCTTTCTAGTCTCCAGGGGCTTCACCTGACTGCCAGGACTTTTCAAATATCATGGAGGGTGGCTTCGCAACTACATCAGCCAGTTCCTTCAGGACTCTGGGATGCATCTTGTCAAGTCCCATAGACTTATGTATGTTCGGATTCCTCAGGTGGTCTTGAACCTGATCTTCTCTTACAGTAGGAGGGACTTTGAGGTTGGTAGTTCCCAGGGAACTACCAATTTATAACGTATTTTTCCTGCTAATCCTGGTGACTTTGGTGCCATCACAGTGAATGACTAATTGTTAAGGGCAATCCAAGGAGACTTGCAGCGACCAGATTGCTTGTGATCTGAGACTCCAAGTTTTCCATTTGATAAGATAGAACTAGCTCTCTAATAGACTGTAGTTTTAATACATAAGTTGCTTAACATAGCTACTTGCTGTAAAATACAGTAATTGAAATGTATTTTTAAAATTGATAAATCATAAACTACTATTTTTCTTCTATTCAGAAAAGTATTTTCCTTACTTTTGCAGAGCTGCAGGTTGTATGCAACAAAACACTTACGAGTATTACTGAGAGCAAATGTAGAGTTCTTCAGCAACTGGGGGATTGAGTTACTGGTGACACAGTTACACGATAAAAACAAAACTATTTCTTCTGAGGCACTTGATATTCTAGATGAGGCATGTGAAGACAAGGTGAGAATCCTTTCCCTTTTCAGTTGTTTTGGTGTGCTAATGTGTAAGCTGTTCCCCAACTGCTCCCCCAGGAGGAAAGTAAATGTAAGAAGCTACTGATCATTTCTTGATTGTCATTAATGGAATTCATAATAGTTTATAGCCACCCTTGCTGAAAATACTGCAGTATTAATGACAATAAAATGGAGACTTCTGGATCATGCTGACTTTTAAATATGAATTCAGACTAACCCACCTATCTTGATCATACTTTTTGTGAAGTAATATATTTAATGGCAGAAGGTATCTAAAGTGCATAATATTAGGATGAAATTAGTGCTGCTTAATAGCTCCTTTTGTGAAAAACTTGTTGCTTCATTGCTGGCAGGTTGTTATAATTGCTTTAGTTTTCAGAATTATGTAATGCTCAGATATGCTTTACGCATTTGTAATTATTTTAGGCCAATCTTCATGCCCTTATCCAAATGAAACCAGCTCTTTCTCATCTTGGAGACAAGGGTTTGCTTCTGCTCTTAAGGTAAATGTTGAATATGCTTTTTGACTTTACACTGTGAAAACAAACAAGTGTTTGTTTTTATTCAAATTACACAACTTGTTTTAAGTGGACTACTAACTGTGTGGTGTTACTTTACAGATTTCTGTCTATCCCAAAGGGATTTTCATATCTAAATGAAAGAGGTTATGTAACAAAACAAATGGAAAAGTGGCAAAAGGTACTGTTACAAATAAAAAGTATGCTTGATGTTAGAAGGAAGGGGGGTGTGAATATGCAGGTTTAGAAGATTGTTGCATATTCATATACATGCATTGCTAATGGAAACACATTTATTGCCTCAGTGACTTAGATTTTGCTGAAAAAGGTTGACATGGACTTAGAGTTCCATACTGCTCTATACATGCGTGCTTTTGGTTTACCCAGGCTTTTTATGTAGTTTTGATACTTCAGCAAATATGTCAGGAGTGTGTAAAAATGACTTTCTAAAATAGTTTTTCTGAAATGTCTTATCTAGAGACGTGTGTAAGGGAATACTACTTTTCAAGATACCTGTTACCTCTAGTTGTTGCTAATTAAAGTTGAATCTAGAGCTCATAAAGCTAGAATTAGCTTATGCTGTTAGGAAGGAGATAGGAATACTAGACCATTAAGAAAAATGCATCATTGTCATGACCAGAATAGTACTCTTCATATGTTATTTTGCTTTCATAATTGATTATAAGTGCTTGGTCTCATTCCTGTTGGCAATTTCTTGATTAACTTTTAAGATGTCACTTACTGAAATGCGCAGTTGTCTGTTGATATTATTTGAGGTAAAGTCAGCTGTGAAGTATTTCCTTCTTTCCTTTTTTAAAAAATTCACTGAAATATGGAATCAATTGTTCACTCTGTAAACTCATTGTATGTATGAAGTACAGTGATTTGGTGGGGCCCACCTTCAGATCATAAAGAAATTCAGCCTTCCTTAAGAGGCATTTCAATTATTCTTTCTTTATAAAGTACCATACTATCAAAAACACTAAATGTATCGTGTCAACCTTTGTCTGTCTTCTTTTAGGAATATAACTTAAAGTATGTTGAGTTGATTGAAGAACAACTCAATGAAGCACTTACAACATACCGCAAACCTGTTGATGGTGATAACTATGTTCGTCGGAGCAACCAAAGGTAAATTTGGGAAGAAGTGTCTTTGCATGTAAGCTGGTGGGACTGATCAAGAGAGCTTTAAACTAGAATCGATGGGGTAAGGGGATACCAACAGGATTGCAGTGGGTAAGCCGTGGATTGGCATGGCATCGCCTGAAGGTGGCAATGCTAGTGCAAACTTTTATGCTCCTCCTGGATGCACGGAATGTTCAGGAGCGTATCTGAAACCCTTGTACACCAATGCATGCAATATGAGAAACAAACGGGATGAACTGAAAGCATTGGTTTGTTCCCAGAACTACAATATCATTGGTATTAGTGTGACTTGGTGGAATGAATCCCATGATTGGAGTGCTGGGCTGTTCAGGAGGTATGAGCAGGGAAGGTGAAGTGGGTGTGTCATGCTCTGTGTAACAGACAGGCTTGATTTTTACAATCCTTACAGTTAGTGATGGTGTGATTAGGAGCCTCTGGGTGAGGATTAGGGGATACAAAACAAAGGAGATACTGTAATGGGTGTCTGCTACCAATAGCCCAGCCAGGATGTTAGCACTGATAAGTCATTCTGTAGGCAACTGGGAGAAATTTGGGGGATGGGAGCCCTTGTCTTTATGGGAGATTTCAATTTCCGAGACATTAGCTGGGAATATCATAGTGCTGTGACGAGCAGGTCTTGGAAATTCTTGACATTTGTAGGAGATAATTTCTTGTCACAAGGACTTGGTCAGCTAACTAAGAAAGATGCCATCCTAGACTTGCTATTAGTGAATAGAGAAGGACTTGTGGGAGATGTCATGGTACATGATTGTCTTGGACACAGTCATCATGAAATGGTTCAGTTTAGAATTTTCAGTGCAGTGAGGAAAAAAGAACATCAGGAGTTGCTACCCTGGACGTAAGGAGAGCAAACTTTAAGTTCCTCAGGGAACTATTTAGCAGAGAACCCTGGGAATTTGTTTTTGAGATCTCAGGAGTCCGTGAGTGCTGGTCAGTTTTTAAGAACCACCTTTTAGAAGCACAGGTGCAGGCAGTCCTGTTGTGTCTTAAGTCAAGCAAGTGGGGCAGACCAGCTTGGCTGAATAGGTAACTCCTCATGGAGCTCAGGATGAAAAAGAGCTTGTATGATCTCTGGAAGCAAGTGAGGCCAGGCTTCACAGGAAGATTACAGAGCTGTGGTTTGTACAGGGAGGGAGAAGGCACAAATGGCCAAAGCTCAATTGGAATTGAAACTGGCCCGTGTTGTGTCAGATAACAAGGATGGCTTTAAGTATGTTATGAGCAAGAGGGGGTCTAAAGAAAATACTGGACTGATACTTGCTGAAGATGGTCATCTGACTGATAAGATGAAGAAAAAGTGAAGGCATTCAGTGCTTTTTTTTGTCTCAGTCTTTAACAATACTAACAGACCTTGGGCTGCCCAGTCCCCTGAGTTGGAGGACCACAAGCATGGCAACAGTGACTTTCCATTTGTGGACATTGAAGTTTTAAGGGACAAGCTGTATCAGTGAAAGTTCACAAGTCCATGTGGCCGGATGGGATTCATCCCAGGGTACTGAAGGAACTAGCGATTGTTATGGCAGGACCCCTCTCAATCATCTACCAAAGGTCTTGGGAGTTTGGGGAGGTCCCTGCTGACTGGAAGCCAGCCAGTGGTACTCCACTTTCCAAAAAGGGGGTGAGGGAAGACCCAGGGATCTACAGACCTGTTAGTCTAACCTCAGTTCCTAGAAAAATTGTGGAGATGATGATGAGTACTGTTGAAAGGGATTTAAAGAATAATGCAACCATTAGGCACAGTCAGCATCGGTTCACAAAGGGAGAAGCCTGTTGAACTCATGTGATAGCCTTCTCTAGATAAGGTCACCCACCTAGTGCATGAAGGGAAGGTGGTGGATGGAGTTTTTCTGGGTTTTTAGTAAGACTTTGGATACTGTCCCTCACAGCACCCTTCTGGACAAGTTGTCAGAAGGGTTCATGATGCACTGTCTGAAGAACTGGCTGAAGAACAGAACTCAAAGGGTTGTAGTGAATGGGGCTCCATGTGGCTGGTGACGGGTCACCAGTGGTCTTCCTCAGGATTCAGTTCTAGGGTCAGTTCTGTTCAATAGAGTTATCAACGACTTGGATGCAGGATTTGAATGCACCGTTAGCGTGTTTGCTGATGATACCAAACTGGGAAGTGCTGTTGGCTCTCTTGAGGGACAAAGTGCCACGCAGAAGGAGCTGGGTAGAGTGAAGCATTGGGCAATGATTAATGGAGTGAAATTTAGCAAGTCGAAATGCCGGATTCTGCACCCAGAACGGAGTAATGCCAATCACAAGTATAATTTGGGAGAGGAGTGGCTGGAGAGCAGCCCTGCAGAAAGGCATCTGGAGGTGCGGGTTGACAGAAGTCCGCAGTGTGCCCTGGCAGCCAAGAGGACAAAAAGCATCCCAGGGTGCATCAAACACGGCATAAGCAGCCGGTCCAAAGAGGTGATTACCTGGCAGCGGTCAGCGTTGGCGCAGCCTCACTTTGAGAGCTGTGCGCAGTCCTGGGCCCCCAGTTTCAGAAGGTTGTGAAGGGCCTTGAGTGCGTCCAGAGGAGGGCAACACAGCTGGAGAAAGGGCTGAAAAGCATGTCCTATGAGGAGTGGCTAAGGACTTTGGGCTGGTCTAGTTTGGAGAAAAGGAGGCTGAGGGGTGACCCCATTGCTCTCTGCAGCTTCCTGAGGAGGGGTTGTGGGGAGAGAGGGTACTGCTCCCTATTCCCTGGTATCCAGTGACAGGACACGTGGGAATGGGTCAAAGCTGTGCCAGGGGAGGTTTAGACTGGACATGAGGAAGCATTTCTTCATGGAGGGGGTGGCCAAACATTGGATTGGTTGATTGGTTGATGCCCCAAGCCTGTCAGTTTGTAAGGCGTTTGCACAACAGCTTTAAAAACATGCTTTAACTTTTGGTCAGCCCTGAATTGGTCAGACATTGGATAAGATAATTGTTGGAGGTCCCTTCCAACTGAACTGTTCTTCTTGTTATGTTCTATTCTGTTCTCCAAAAGAATCCTCTTTGTCTGAAAAAACTCAAAAGTAACTTACTGCATTACAGTGAAGTGTAAATTATTTTAAAAGAAATATCAGAATTGCTGGTAAAGCATATGATTTCTCTTTCTGCCAGATTACAGCGACCACATGTCTACCTGCCAGTTCACCTTTATGGCCAACTGGTGCACCATAAAACGGGCTGCCATTTATTGGAGTCTCAGGTGAGGATAATAACTTTTTGTAACTTTATAATTTTTAACCTAACTTTAATTTATAACTTTATAATTTTAAAAGATGTATAGGGTCTGGCTGAGATGGCGTTAACTTTTCCCATAGCAGCCCTCCTAGTCCTGTGCTGTGTATTGGTAGCTAGACAGATGTTGATAATGCACCAGTGTTTTGGCTACTGCTGGGCAGTGCTCGTGGAGCATCATTCCTGCCCCCTGCCAGTAGGCTGGGGGTGGGCAAGATCTCAGGAGGGTACATAGCCAGGACAACTGACCCAAACTGATGAAAAGGATACCATATGACATCAGCTCAGCAATAAAAGCTAAGAAAAAGGCTGGGGGCAGGAGGGCGGAGGGAGAGTGTGGCATTTTTTATGGTATTTGTCTTCTGGAGCAACCACTACACCTACTGAAGCTTTGCTTCCTGGGAAGTGGCTGGATATTGCCTGCTGATGGGAAGTAGAGAATAAGTCTTTTGCTTTTATTTGCTTCCACACCTGCCCTTTTGCTTTTGGTGTATTAAACAGTCTATATCGTGACCCACAAGGTTTTTTTCATCTTATTTCTGCTCCAGCCCCATCCAGCTGAGAAGGGGAGTGATAGAGTGGCTTTTTGGGGGTGGCTTGGTGGGCATGTGGCATTCAGACAATGTCAACCCACCAAAAAGAGAGTACTATAATGCCTTTTAAATATGTTCTAAGAGAGATGGCATTTGAACAGTAATTGTGAAATAAGTTGATTATGAAAGTTTTAAGTTACATGGGGCCAAAAAGTTGTGAAGACAGTCTTTGCCATCTGGTGTCATGTAAAATTCTTTCCTGATACTGAAATATCAAATACCTTGCAACATTTTTCTTAAAATGGCTAGCAAAATCTTAGAATGGAAAGCAACTCACAGATAGAAATAATTTTTCACGTCTGTGTGTGAAGCAAAGTATGCATTGACAAGTAAAACTGTGCCTATCCTTTAATGCATACAAAAACATGGAGATGAGGGAATAAAATCTTCTTTCTAATCTCCTGAAAAGCTAAGAAAACAAACAGTAAGCCAGTTCATGGTTGCTTAAGTGAATTTGCTTTTAATATTGGCTTGAGAGATGATGTAATGAATTGAATATGATAGTTTAAAAGTTCAAGAGAAAGCTTATTGCAGTGTGTTAATCTGATTAATTAGTTATCTTTATAAAATCTGAATTAACTTGATGCAGTCAGTGGTTACATTAAAATTTTCTACATGCATTACCATTACTTTTAATTTGTGCTTATTTTTCCAGATACTACCACTGTTCGTTTTAGGGTGCGCACATTAAATTAGTGCTTTATCTTTTATTAAACATGAAAAAGAAACTGTTTGACTAAGGAGTCCGTTTCATTTTCAGCTGAGTTTTTGGTTTTTTTCTTTTGTTTTTCTCTTCAGAGTATTGTTACAGATCTGAGTTACACTATTCGTTCTCCAATGCTGGATAAGTGGGAAGGAATTAAGCAGCTGAAAGCAGCCCTTTGGGCCTTGGTTAGTAATAGCTTTACAAACTTTTTGCAGTTGTTTGAGTTCTGTTATGACTCTTGATTCTGAAATAACTAAGGAAAATGCTGTTACATCGTTAATTAGCGTTTTTATGTCATAAAATGTGTGGGTTTTTTGAAGTTGGTATTCTGTACCCTAACTGGTCTTTCAGGTGGAAATGGTTCACTGCACCCTTTTTGTTCAGACTTTTTTAATAGTCACTTTGTGTTTTTTCTTTTTTAATAAATAACAAGAACAGGTTGCCACATGTAGCAACAATATTAGTATGGAGCCAGTAGTTACAGGTTGCTGTGGTCTGATTTTAATGTATTTCCTGCAGTGGTCCAAAATTCAGTGTTTGTGGAAGAAACTTGTCTGCCACTCTTCATGTGTGTGAATACATATGGTCATGACACCCCTGGTACTTGGGTAACATGGTGAAAACCTAGTGTCCATGTTTATCCAAGCTACACTTCTAAATTTGCTTTGCCACCTCAACTGTTCATTTGCTGCTTCTCTTCCCCAAAGTTTATTTTAGAACATTAGTCCAATGACTATTACTGGAAGATACTGTAGGTATGTAATAAAATGCATGTGTAAGAGGAATGTAAAATGAGTAAACTTTATGAGTAAAGATCATACTGCTCACTGTAGTAGAATGGGTAAAATGAGGAATACGTGGTAGTTAACTGTGAGCAGTTTTAGGTATTATACGTAGTGTTCTGAGTCCTTTTTTGGATTTGCGTGACTAGGAAATGCCAGAAAGGGTGCTCAAATCTCTCAAGTCTTCTCTTTGAGAAGATATGGCTTGAAACTGTACTACCAACTTAACAAAAATGTCAAAAGCTTTACACTGATAGTGCTGAGATAATATCAAAATCAAAACTTATTTGACAAACTCTTTTATTCCAGGGGAATATTGGATCATCAAACTGGGGTCTTAACTTGCTTCAAGAGGAGAATGTAATTCCTGATATAATGACACTTGCCCAGCATTGTGAGGTTCTCTCTGTTAGAGGGTATGTGTATCTGATTTATACATAAAATTTACAGATGGTATTTGCCATAAGTTTTCAAATAGCCTTACCTGATTTACATAAATAGTTTTGCACTTACTTGGAAATCATTATGGATCATTACTTGGAAATCATTATGGATCATTGATCATTGGAGATCATTGATGACTGAGTATCAAATTCAGTCCTATACAATTGCAGAATTGTATAGGAAGTCTAAGTCTAAAAGAGCATGCAGTAAGCAAATGAAATCTATGAAAAAAGATGCATACTACTTTTCTCCTTTTTTAAAAAACAATTAAAATACTTGCTACTTACATTTCTGTTGGAATCAATTTATTATTCCATCATTTTTGTTATGTATCTTTCTTGAATCTTTAAAAGCATAATTAGGTGGTCTTTTGCCAAATATTGCTACTGTATTAATGTTTGACCTTTTTTTTTTAAAAGGTACTTTTCTACTTTATGTAATCGGGCTCTTGTAATAATTAGTTTTTATTTTTGAGTAGTGTATTGTTCCCAGATATTTTAGTACATTTTTTAATGTTCCATTCATTTACAAATAAAAATTAACAAAAAGCTACTTGGTAGTTTTGTGAAGTTTCTGCTGATTTTTTTTTTTTAAACTGTTTCCTTTCAAAAGAGAGTAAGTTTAGTTAAATTAGATGCTATTATTGTTGCTCTTTTTTTCTATATATACATTAAATACAGAACCTGTGTCTACGTGCTTGGTCTAATAGCCAGAACTAAACAAGGATGTGACATTTTGAAGCATCACAACTGGGATGCAGTGAGACACAGTCGTAGACAGCTGTGGCCAGTGGTCCCTGATGACATGGAGCAGCTCTGCAATGAACTATCTTCTATACCCAGCACTCTTAGCTTGAACTCTGAGTCTACAAGTTCTAGGCATAACAGTGAAAGTGAATCTGCTCCTTCAAGTAAGTAACAACAACAACAAAACAAATAAGCAAAACCCACCACAAAACAGCATTTTGCTGTTCTTCCCAACCTTTTGGCAGGATGAGGTTCAGGCAAATTGTGTAAAGGTGCTATTGCAAGAA